TCACACAGTTCTGTTGTGGAAAAAGCTTACTAGAGACAAATGAGGAATATGCTCCATTATACAGCAGGTGTAATAGGGGCTGAAACACTGCTGAGCAAGAACTCTCTGGGTCTAGCAACATGAAAAAATTCACTGGCAGATTGTGTATTAACTAGAAGAAACCTAACAAACTTGATCATGTGTTGAATCCAAGCAAATTACTTCTATTTTCATTTTAGAGATTGCAATTTTTTGTTTCAAATATTGTTATGCTTCGCACAATTTGAATACTAATCTTACATGAAGTATATACAGGTTCCCATTTATGGTGACTCATACTCCCCAGGGACCTGGACAGGCTGGAGAGGGGGGCCTGGGCAAACCTCATGGAGTTCAGCAAGGCCAAGTGCGAGGTCCTGCCCGTGGGTCCGGGCAATCCCCAGCACAAACCCAGGCTGGGCGAGGGGTGGCTGGAGAGCAGCCCCAAGGAGAGGGGCTGGGGGGGTTGGTGGGGGGAAAACTGCCCGTGAGGCAGCCCCGTGCGCTCGCAGCCCAGAACCCACCCGTGCCCTGGGCTGCAGCCAGAGCAGGGGGGGCAGCAGGGCCAGGGGGGGGATTCTCCCCCTCTGCTCCGCTCTGGGGAGACCCCCCTGCAGTGCTGGGGCCAGCTCGGGGGCCCCCAACAGCAGAAGGACCCGGAGCTGCTCGAGCGGGGCCAGAGGAGGCCACGGAGATGCTGGGGGGGCTGGAGCAGCTCCCCTGGGGGGCCGGGCTGAGAGAGTTGGGGGGGTTCAGCCTGGAGAAGAGAAGGCTCCGGGGAGCCCTTCGAGCGGCCTCCCAGGGCTTAAAGGGGGGACAGGGGATGTGGGGAGGGACTCTGGATCAGGGGGTGGGGGTAGGACAACAGGTAACATTTTTAAACTGAAAGAGGGGAGATTTAGATCAGATGTAAGGAAGAAATTGTTCCCTGTGAGCGTGGTGAGGCGCTGGCCCAGGGTGCCCAGAGAAAAGATGTGGATGCTCCCTCCCTGGAAGGGTTCAAGACCATTTCTGTTAGCTATCTAGCAGACTAGTTATTTTAGGCAAATTTGCAGAACAACTCCCAGTTAATTCTGACAAGTTTTGTAATATGGATTACAAGAGACCAGACCAGAGCAAAAGATAAAAAGAGAAATAAAGTATATTTGATCATAACAGATGATGCTTCCATTTGAAATAATTTTTCCTACCTGTGTTACCATGACCCTGGCTTCCAAAAATAATGTTATAATTCTGCACTGAAAAGTTAATTTTACAGAGTTAAAAGTGCAAACTTATCACCTGTTATTATATCCTTTCTTCTTTGTGTATTTTTACATCTCTTATAAATTCTCATTTGTTTATAAAATATATCATAAGGCTGTGTTTAAAGATTTTTTCCAAATATTTGTGAAATTTATCACTTAAAAATATTACAATAGGCAGAATCACACTGCTCTGTTGAACAGTATTACTTATTTAGTTTTGTCTCCAATGATAATATGTCATTTTGGAACATCCCATTTTTAGTTCAACAACTATTGAAAACTTGCATAACCTGTCTAATAATCCTTCAAGCTCTTATTTGGTCACCAAGTAAGACTTGTTACAGGGTATTTCTGAAATGTTAAAAAGTGGTTCTTTTGTATATTTGAAAAGCTATAAAACATATTTAGAAAGAGACTCTATCTTCTACGGCTGGGTTCTCCTATATCTAACACAACATCTTTCAGGTAAACATTAAAAAAACAACTATTTAAATTATTTTTATTTATACAGATTCCAATTTACCATTTGGATAAGTGTCTTATTAACACTACAGATTACATCAGAAGAGATCTGGCAGTTGCTTCCTGTTTAAAATCTGTATATTTTCCCTGGAATGAGATTTTTTTTTCTCTCTTTCTATTTATAGTCACACATACACATACAGAAGGTTCCCTTGTTTCAGTAATATGCACAATTTCCAGTAGTACTGATGGTGCGTGTTTGTGCATAATGAGGGGAAAGAGGTAAATTATGGCAGGTTTTAAAGGTTTTATTGTCTTTGATATACACACGCTGCTCCTATTGAGGTAGCGAACAGAGGCTTTGCACAAATATCTACATTAGAACAGACCCTGCAGCTGTTAACCTGATATTATTCTCATTTATCATTTGCAGAAAGGAAATAGAGACCTATTTAAATTTCTTATAGTAAAAATATTATACAAGTTTTTACTGTATATATACAATCAGTACCTATTTCCACCTACCACTGTTTTCAATGAAAACATTTAAACTTTTTTCTTCGGGAACTCTTTCCACTTCACGGGTTGACAATAGATCAGTCTGATCTGATTTGGAGAGCAGATCACAAATACCATCCTGGGGCTCTGGAGACAGAACTGCCTCCCCAAGATTTTCCTGCTGCCCCTGAGACCGTTTCAGGGAATTTTAGTGTCTGCATCTATCAGACAGAGAAACATAGAAATCAGTGATTTCCCTTGTGTCCCTGAGCATATGAAGTTTAAAAGGAGATGGGCTGTGCTGAAGAAATGGGCTGAAAGTAGAATCATGGCAAAAGAGGAGTGACTTCTGGTCAGAGAAAACAAATATCCATGCTACACAGACCTGTCAGATCAAAAACCTGGGAGGAAATATACAAAGCCTATGATCTATTAATGTGACTGAACACAAAACATTTAAGGTGCTATATAGAAATACAGATGTACTGATACTTCATATCTTACTACAGACCTCTCAAGCAATCATCACCTTTCAGGTGGTAAGTTCAAAAGTAATCCATGATTTTCATTAGGGCCCTGGCTCCTGGGGACGCAGATGGATGAAGGGCATGGGGTGTATCAGGGCTGTTATACTAAAGAAGCAACATGAAGGGCAGCAGGTGTTTTTTCTACTATCTACCTTAGTCATCCCTATTAAGAGTTTTAGTAAGATAAGTACTACCAGTGCAGCCTTACAATATGAAAACAATTTAAGTAATTAGGGAAGAAGTTTCCTAGATAACTGATTTGATTATCTTAAGACGTGCTTTAATAAAGATAAAGCTATTTGTTTTATTTAACCATGTGCTGCTGAAGCTTGCCAAGTTGGACAGTAGGATGGCAGACAGATCTCAGCTGAAAGTATCTGCCAGGTAGACAATGACAATTCACTCAGGAGGAAGAGCCCAATCAGACTCATCTTTTTCACCTCCATCAAACAGCCATGAAGAGGGTGAGAGGGGACAGAGGAATGCCAACCCATATATACAAGCCACTGCCTCCAAGGTTTACATGCAACCCTCAAAACTGATGTCTGTTTCCTGCCAGTGACAACCTATCCCTACTGATGAACCTTTTCCCCATGTGTGTTAGGAAAATGGGCAGGAAAATCATCAAACAATATGAAAACATAGACTTGGGTTCTGTCTCTAAAATAGAACATAAAAAGTATATTCTCTGGTACAAATGGATTTATTTTATAAACCTACCCACCCACACCCAGAGCAAATGCAGAACCTGCATGAGAATTAGTATCTTGTGTTTGTAATCAGACATTATTTTCTTCTGCATATACCACAGACAAGTGTTAACTGGAAAACCTTAATGAAACATAATGATTTGGTTGAGGGGAGAAGTCAGCAGGGGCCAGGCATGCAGCCCCAGCACACAGGTCTAACGGTTCCCAGTGCTTTTTTTGGTTTTGTTCCACTTCCTTTTATCCTCTTCTCTTCCATTTCTCCCAGCAACAAAAAGATGTATAAAGTTGACATGCCATGTTACATCCTGTGAGGGCAAACGTGTGAAATTCCCAGGCTCTGTGCAGAGACACTGGTGTTAACAACTCTTCCCCTTCTGCACAAATGCAGTATGAAGCAGCAGCTGGCTGGGACTTGTGCATGGTTATAGAACTGGGCAGTCAGAAAACTGCTTTTCTTGATTTGCTCTAGGTGGTGGCACAGTGCTTAAGCCTCTAATTGAAGTCACAAGAAAGTATTTGCTTGTTGATATATCTATCTCAGAATGCCCATCCCCATCAAAAAATTTTTATCATGATTTATGTGAGAGATTTAAAAATTCTTTGAAAGAGAGAAAATAAAACTCGTTTTAAAACTGGAGAGTCAGTATTTTTTTTTTTTTTTAATAAACACATATTTGCTAGAGCGAAAATGAAGGAATATGTTTCTTTTTCAGGTCTAAGAATAGGCAGGCTTGGGAAAATTTTGTTCTATAGTACTTTTAGCCTAACTCAAACAAAATGATCATCAAGGCAAGATTATGGATGGCAAGGTTGTTTTCTTTGACCCAGATATATCTCACTTCAAGCTCTGAAGAATGTTAAAAACACATTAAGTAGAAAATTGCGAAGCTAGCTAATTAAGTCTTATCAAAGAATACATCTGCAAGAATACATGCACTGGCAGCTCTTCCATCATAAATTGGTCTTATTACAAAAAGAAGAAACCAGTCCTTGTGGGGAAGATCAGGCAGTTACTTCAAGAAGAAAATATTTATACATTATTAAAGGACTGATTTTTCAAGTACCTGACATTAATTTAATGAAGATGAAAATCATGCCTATATTCACCCATCTGTTTGATGAAGGCTTTGCTGAATATTTTAGGAAGAAGAAATTGGCTTCTTTCAACACCATTAGAGAGACTTAGTCAAAAGCAGGTGCTACAGAAAATTATTTTAGTGCATTATTATCCCCCATTTTCCCCCTAGATTCAAATAATATAGGATGAAAGAAATGGAGCTTTCAGTTCACCTTGTGAAATACCTATACCACAAAGAAGGTTCATTTGTCCTTTGAGCTGATGGTTGAAATCCAGGTTCCTCTCTTCCCCTGCATTTCTGAATGAGCTTTAATAAATCACTTGAAGTCTTCTGTCTATACCAGCTAAACCCCTACACACCTACAGAAGCATTACTGTCCAGGAAGTATTGTGTCATATATGTAACAAAAGATTCTGAGTTCTCTGTTGTTGTTGTTATTATTACTACTACTATTCTTACCATCATCATCTGCAGCTCTTCCATGGGATTAGCTAGGACAAGGAGCAGTCCCAGTCTCGTGGGAGACACTGTGTAGCCGTATCCACTGCTGCTCACACCACGCATCCGCAGAATGTGTGTTCCCTGCAGTCAATGCCAGGTAAGATCCTCTGCCTCACGTTCAACGTGCAAACTTCACCTTTCACACAGGAGTGAGAGCTGTGAGGATTAACTTGCACTCTTCATACAGGCCATTGCTCTGAACGATACAGCCATGATTTGCAAAAACCTTTCTAGGCGTATTTAAAAAGGGAATTATCTGCATTTAACTAGCTGGAAAGTACAAGTCACTGGAATTTCTCCAAGAATTTTTTTTTTACAAAGTAAAATATTTGGAAAGTACATTTGCAATCAATTTAAACGAAAAGCACATTTTATATTAAAACCCTCATACTCCGCTTAAAACACTCACTTTGACTATTATTTTCTAAAATGGAGTGTTACAAGATCCAAGTACAATATACTGTGGCTCACAGAGCAGAGTTAATAAACAAGATAAAGTTTCACCAATGCAAGTTGAGATTCTGCTTCTCTTTGATTATTTCCCTTTTCATCCTGACCCATGCCACTATGAAGTAAAAAGAGCATGCATCACAGTAAATTTTGAAGATGAAAGTTAGGGTCATAGTTATGAAAAACAGAAACTGGGATTGATTTTCCCCAATGCAGGTCTAGATTCCTAAAAATAGGAGATGGTTTCCAAGGCTGCTTATCAGACTAGTACTGGAGAACTTTTGGTCACACAGCCTTTTAGGGGGTTAGTGCCTATGAAAACATCACAATTCATTTAGGAGAACACATCCCACAGAAAAACTAGTGAAAAACTCCACCCCCTAAATCACATAATTACTTTCAAAATGTACCACTCTAGACTTCTTGGCCTAGATCAGTTCAGTGGCAGGTTTCAGTGAATAAGCACCAGCTAATGGCAACGACTGACCCAAATATCTCTTTCAGTGATGCTTCTTACGCAGGGCTGACAGTTTCAAATGAAGCCATAAGTTTAACCCCTTACGACAGAAGGCAGAAACTGTTACTGCTACAGTTATAAATCCAGAAAAGTCTTTAAATATTTTTAAAAGCAAGTAAAATGAGTCTGATTGTTTATTTAAACCTTTCTTGTTTTACATATGCTGTATTGGATCTATTTGAAACGTAAGAGAAGAAAATAAACCATGCCAAGCTTTGGCAGTGCTAAGCCTAATGTTTCATGGTTTTCTAAAGTTAAGTGTGCTACAGTAATTGTGTTAAGTGAAGGAAAGATATACCATTGTTATTGTAGAGGGTATTTTGAGTCTTTGAAATGGTAAAGTGTAGATGAAAATAATACCTCTTTACATTACATCTCGCATCTCAGAAGATCTTAATGCACTTTGCACTTACAAGGATGACCTCACCCAGCACTGGCACACACCGATCTGACAGGTGCTAACACAGCCCTTATTAACTGCAGCATTGTGTTTGTAAAGAGTAGAATAAGAAATAATGTATACAGCTGAAAATGCAGTGGGAATTTAGGCAAAAGGCACTTGGGAATCCAACTAGAACACAGGGACTAACACCCAAAATCTTGCAAAATGTGCTTGTGGGGTCTTTTAATGACCACAAGCAGTTGTAGCAGAACAGTAGTTTTATATATGAGCACAACCAGAAACATAGCACCATCCAATTATTAGTTGAATCATGACTCAAAAAAATAGTCTGTTCAGAAACTGGCAGAAAACAGAGTTTGGAGTCAGAGCTGCACAGCCAGCCCTCAAGCTTTTACCTTGTGTACTGAGAATTTTTCAGTCCATTTAATCTCCATACTCCTTCAGCTACTGATGTACTTGCAAGACTGCCAGCAAGACTAAAAATTAGTTCCAGTGTCTATGGCAAGGGACCAGACATATTTTACATAACATGGGCTTAAGTCGTCCAGACTTAGTGGTGACTGAGGTATGGCTAGGTGAGTGGCACACCTAACATCCAGGATGACCTCCTTTCTGGCTTGTTTGGCTTCCAAACTTGTGGCTGAGACAGACACTACCTGCTAGAGCCCAGAAAAAAAAAACAAAAACAAAAACAAAAACAAAAACAACAACAACAAAAAAAACTAAACTAAACACCACACCCCCCCCAAAAAAAAAAAAAACAAACAACTTTGCTTTTTGCCACCACCTGCACCAAAGTTTTAAAGTCAACACATTCTTAAAAAGAACTTACCAAAGTGAAATACTAAAACGTTTGAAATGTAGAATTTGGCTAGGCAGCACCTGGAACCTTCTTGCAGTGCCACAAAGCCTGAAGTGTCCTGGTCCAGCACGTATGACCCACATATTAATTCCCTGCTTTGGCCTTTTATTGGCTGTACCACAGCATTCACAGTGAAATCCATACAGAGGGGTGTGAAATCATTTGTGACGTGTGAGAGGAGAGCCAAACACCTTGGGCCTGCTTGTTCCTCTCTCAATGCCTGCATGCTCTCTGCCAACCTTCTTTGGAAAGATATGCTTGCTCTTGGCAAAGTCAACAGGGCAAATATGTTATAGCCCTTTTCTGGAACAAGTGCAATCACTCCTGGAAAGACTTATAAAATGTAGTAGCTACGTGTCCTGCCTTTTCCAGTATATCTTGCTCAATTCCTTCTAAAAATATCCAGCATGAACCCTTTTATCATGAGAATTGCCACTAAAGGATGTGGTCCCATTTAGAGACAAGGAATAGGAATACCTTGGGTAGAGACGTGAAGGAAAAAGGAGGTCAACTTCTAGGTTCCATAGAAGTAAATAATCAAACCTGATCATGGGTTTTCTACAGAGAGAAATGGGGATTTGAGAAGCAAGCAAGCTTGGTAGAAAGACCCTACACATGGGGAGGACAACAGTTCATTATTTTGAGGTATGCTGAGCTATGAGCACTGTGAGGTCTCATGGGCAGATCTCATTTTATCTAGAGGATGAACCTCGTCTTTCCATGTTGCCATGCACTGACAGAGAGCTTTCTCTTGGGAGACTGGGGGGAAGATAAGCTCATTTTGTGGTCCTTTCCACTGAACACCTAAAATTTCCCAATCTCTGAAGCTGGCGGTTCCGGGTAGACCATCAGCTTAGATCCCTGCAATCAAAAAATAAGACCCCAAAAGTTTCATTTGTATGGTAGAGCTGCAATAGAGTCAGGGGCTAATTCCTCCCAAAGGCAGAGACCCAGACGAAACTGCCTCCGTCATTCCCACAGCCACAGCTTTCAGCAGCCATCACGGTGGTGCTGGGCCATGCCCCAGGCAGCGCTGAAGCCCAGCGAGGAGCAGCCAGCCCCCGTGCCAGCTGCAGAAGCCCCAGCTCACAGCAGCACGTGGCTTCCCAAGCCTGAGGCAAGCAGAAGTCAGTTTTTTTGGTGCGTGTAATGTGATACAGATCCCACCTTGTCTAGGACAAGAAACAAGCGGAGGCAGAGCCTCAAAGAACCAAGCTGGCTTCAAGCCTGGAGAGGTGAAAGCATCTGCCAGGAACCCAGCAAATCTTGTGCTCCCAAAACATCCACCATGCTCCCCAGGCCTTAGATTCCCGCAATGAGAATAAATGTGGTGATGCATATTCAAGCAACCTGCAGATTATATCATGATAAAATTTACATAAACTCTGCTCCATTAGTGTTACCAGGTATATGGTAAATATAATAAAACCTTAAGTTGTGGAGAACCTGTGAGCAAACTCAAACAACTTCTGTGTTGTCAGTACTGGCAGATGCAATAGATGATATCAGGAACTTTGTAACAGTATTTATGATCACCTTGATTATTAAAACCAGTGGAGTTGCACTAAGGATCAGCCAGAACAGTTTTGCCCCTAAAAACAGCATAAATGACTTCTAGGCTAGAGAAATTGGAGGAATGAAAATCTGAGCTCAGGTTTGGTCTTTAATACTTTAAGTCTCTATGGTATCTCACTCACACATATCTTGCATTCTCATACAATAAGACATGAAACTCCAGAAGCCACCGTAATCAGAAAAGACTGTAAATTAAATTAACATATATATGTATTGTAGATGTGTGTAGATTCTCACATGCCTACCTCTGAAACTCCATATTGCTATCCAAGCTCTTCATCAATGAAGAAATTGTTAAGTGTACCTTCTTTCTCCCTCTCTGGCATTAGCAATGTTTTTCTTGGATAACATACAGAAAAGTACACTTTGCCTTAAAAGTGGCACAGTCTCCAAGATGTCAAAACATCCAGTCTCACAGAATATGAGCGAGCACTGAGGACACACAGAACCTGCAGGACATGCTTAGCGGTTAACCTAAGGGCAAAAAGCCGCTGCATAAACCTGAACACAAACCCCAGCTTGTATTCAGGGACGCTGCCAGCCCAGGCTGATGTTCACATTTGCTGTGAGCACTGAACCCAAACTAAGTCTGAACTGTTTCAGGGTTCACTGCGAATGTCTCATACAGCCACATAAATGACCCAATACAGGCAGAAACTTGGATTCAGTTTAAAAAGTCTGTAGAGCTCCAAGAAAAGCAATTTATAATTTGCCAACTGTGTCTTAAATGGAACTAACAATTATTGAGGTTTGAAATTATTTTATTTCCTGTAAACATAGAATTAGTGCGGCAATGGAGATTCAAACACCCTAACAGCACCCCAGTTAAGAACAACAGCTATGAAATTCACTGAAATTTAGATCATCAGCTAATAATACCAGGTTTGTAACATGTTACCTTTTTATAAAATCAGAATATTCAGGAGTGTCTTGATGTTTTAAGGGAAGTTTTGGATACATATCATCTTCCTTTTACAAATGCCTCCAGTCATCAGAAATGTATGACTGTTTACTTTTTCATGTTTTTTGTGTTTTTTTGTCAAACTGTCAAAACAATTACCGCATTGGAAGCCACCTCTTGGCATAGAGACAGTGAAATGAAGAGTGATTCTCCTCTGGACGACAAAGTGAGCCGGTCAAGCTGGCTACCCTTGGAGAGCAGCTTGCTCCAAGATAATGAGGGAGATAAGTGATTGTACTGTCTCTTTTTCATGTTACAAAACAGGTCGATACTTGTGAAGGAATCAACCTGCTTTTTTGAATTAGACATGACGGAAGGAAGACAGTAACTTCTGGGAATAATAGTGAACGGAGAAA